TGTGAGTGTGAACATTGGATTAATTTGATCATTGATCTATTTGTATATTTTCTTACCTACCCATTGTTTTTCTCCAACATCAAAGTACAAAATCAAAAATACTTTTCTATCTGCTTTTGTGTTAGATCAGTGGTTCTCAACCTTCCTAATGCCGCAGCCCTTTAATGCAGTTCCTCATGTTGTGGTGACTCCCAACCATAAAATTATGGCCGGGTTCCTAAGACCATCGAAAATATGTGTTTTCCTATGATCTTAGGCGACCCCTGTGAAAGGGTCATTCGACCCCCAAAGGGGTTGTGACGCACAGGTTGAGAACCACTGTGTTAGAGTGTCACAGGGAAAACTATTGCTATACATATCTGATTTTATAATATAGACAGGTGGTATTTAAGTATTTCCCCCCCTAAGATTTACATTGCTATTCTACAAGTACTAATCTGTATTTCCTGGTTATTGGTTCTTTTACAGAGTAGTATTGCCAGCATTTCATAAGTTATTGATGTTTCTTAATCAAGTTTTAAACATACTTCTTCAATCCAGCATTCCTCACTAAAAATTTATCTTATAAATAAGGCCAGTATACAACTTTGTTTCATTCCTTTTATGACCTATGATGTAAACAAATGACCTAAAACTAGTCTGTTTCAGCATGTTCCATCTGGACTGTTACTTCTTGTCCCATGTATAAATTTTGCATGATAATAATGATGTTAAAGACCAAACAATAATAAAGTAATATTAGTATTTCTCTGAAATACATTTAACAATAAATGTTAAATAAATTCAGAGATCTCAAAAATTAGTAGATTAGCCTGGTTTACATATCAGCCTGAATAGTTTCATAGTTTAATTTTGGTTAATGAATACATCAAATAGTGGAGGTTGATGCTAAATGGATGGCAGACTTTCCACCCCCCTCCCTACTCTCTGCTCTTCCTCAATCCATCTTTTTGATTATCATATTGATATATTCTTGTGTACTTTTATCATTGTTTATTTTACTGTTCTGTTATTTTACTTCTGTTTACACTCCTTTCATCTTTTTATTATTGAAAACCACGGAGAAATAGACAGGAAATAAATTTATAAATAAGTAAGTAAACAAACCGTATTTGGCAATCAACTACTAGGCCATGAATTAGCTGCATGTATCCAAGACATTAAGTTAATATAAAATTACATACTTGCTTAGCACAGTGCATTACTTTATCAATTATCTCTTGGAGTGATAGACTGAAGATTATTTTATTATTTGTGACAGCATGTTAAGACCATTAATTATTATCTCTATATTTTATTAGGCTAAATATCCATCAGATTTCACGAGACAGCAAGATATGAAGATTTAAATATCTATCTGCATTCTCTCAATTTTTACTGAAACCGTTCCCGTAGTCACAAGAAAGAGTGAGACCATAGTCTCTTTTTATAAACTCCTTCTGATTCCTGTTTTATTAAATTAGATATGGCATTCAATTATAAAGTTATATCTACTGCAGATATTTTTATCCTTAAATCTGAAGTAATATGATTACCACTTTATCATTTAAATATTGTTTAAGGCAGCATGACTGATATGTACTTGTTTTTTTTTTTAAAGAACAGAACTCAAGCATATCCATAATAGAAATATTGTTGCCTTACATTTTTACTGGAAACAGATAGGCATTCTTTTTTTTTATACATAGGATATTATAACTTGATTGTTTTTCCATAAGAAGGTCAGTGCTTTATTCTTACTGTACAAATAAGGAATTCAGGCTGAAAAATGTAATACTGGCATTTTGCTGAGTTGGCAGTTTGAATTATGTTAGATCAAAGTACAATTATTTTGCCTATTCTCTCTTCTGTACCAGGCTAAGTGTGTGGTAATATTCTTTAAAAGAATATTTTTGGAAAACACACTAATACTTATGGCTGTTGCTCAATAATTTCTTAGTATTGGGAACAGTAGTGGTTGACCAAAATATGCCACAACTTAGTTTGTTTTGTGTTCAAAGTTGCAATCAAGTCTCTGGTTAACCATAAATAAGAAAACAAAATAGTTCAGCAAAGCTGAAAAGGATGGGAAATAGTAAGCTTTCCCAAAAATTAGCTTTGGAAAATATTCCTTCATTTACAGCATTCCTTCATCAAGTTGTTTTTTGCACTCACTGAAAACATTTAAATCAATATGTGCATATTATAAATATGCCTAACATTGAAAATTTGTTTACATTAGAGGCAGAAGAAACAAGGTATTTGGGAGAAGATAATACATCTTCTCTACCCTAATCCCATGTTACAAAAAGAAAACATATACATTGCTTTTGTTAGTGGTTTAGATTTCTTTCTCATGCTGTTATATTTATCCCTTAGAATTGCAAAAGAATGTTTGCTGCCGTATCAAACATGCTAACTGACACATCTAAAGTTATACAATTTTACATTTTTTTCCAGCCTGAAAAAAATGCCAATATTAATACCATTCTTCTTTAGTTCAACTTCTCATCAGTGAAGCATGGATTTGATGATGATGATTGGGGTGGGGAGGAGGAGTACGATCAAAAGAGAATATAATACAGCCATTGGCTTTATAAACCGTACCACACTGAATAGCAAACAAGATAAAATATAGAGTAGTACAGATCTCAGAAAGCAATTTAAAAGGATCTCCCTTAGAACAACCTGTAGAAAAATAAGACTCTGAAAAAAGAGATGATGCTAGTTTGCTATTCTTTATAAACTCTCATATGAACAAGTTAGATAAAAAGAGCAAATGGCTGAGCTTGTATAAAAGTAAAAACCACCAAAGACATAAATTAACTTGAAATACACACAGAAAAAAAGAAATTAAATTTAAGACAATTCTTAGCTAACCTTAGCCTTTTCTTGTTCCTGTACAGAATAGCCTTCTAAACAGAAGGGTATTCTGTACAGGAACAAGAAAAGGCTAAGGCTAGCTAAGAACTGTCTTAAGCTTAATTTCTTTTTTCTTTTTGAAATTACAAAAACATTTCCTCTCCTGGAGAGGGAGGGAATAGAGATATATTTGGCCTTTGTGAGCTGTTGGATGTATCTGTCCCTTATGAAGATGTAGATTCTGTGTCAGATGTGTTTGTGTGTGTGTGACTTTGAGTCAATGTTAACTCCTGATGACTACCTGGATGAGTCTTCTGCAGTTTTCTTGGCAGGGTTTTGAAAATGATTTTCCATTGCCTGTTTCTTAGGGCTGAGTGACTGGGCCAAAATCAATTACATGGCTATGGGCTCAATTAGGACTAGAACTCACTCTCTCCTGATTTGTAACTTTGTTCCTGAACCACTACACAAAGCTTGTTCTCTATCTGACATGAGGGAATGTGCATTGAAATAGGTGGAAATGTGTTAGTGGGAGCTTATTTGTCCAAACACTATACCCTATTTTTGCCCATTAAAAGGAAGGGAATCATCTAAATGCATTTCTTGCCTTATTTTCTACCTTTACAAGTTCTTGTGATAATCAGACCTCTCTCTTATAATTATCCAACTGTAGCCGAACCCACAGATTTTATAAACTTATTTCAGTATCTTTAATAATGATTTCCAGATGAAATTTCTCATCATTTGTCAGTTATGCTACACACAGAGTCAACATTTTTATTCTGCTACCCAGAGTTAAACTACATTTCTTATTTTAATAGCCATTTCTCTAATTTGGAGTTTTCTTTTCCAAGCTTTTCATTTTCCTACCTGTGGGCTATGATATTTTCTCTGAATTTCTGCATCAATTAAAAAAAACAAAAGCATTAGGATGCTTTTCCTGTAAAATGCATTGATAATTTAAAAAGCATGTTCCTAGTCAGCAATTTTAGTTGAAAGAAATGTAAATAATTTCAGAAGGTTTATGGTAGTAGGAATTTTTTCTCTCTCTTTTGCTGGCAATGTTTAGAGATCATTTTGCTCATTTAGTAAAATATATTTAATTCTTTATTATTTTATTATCCAATAGTTTATATTGAAATTGGTAATACAAAACAAAACCCTGGACTCTTGAGAAATTGTTTTTATCAAAGTCACACCTAATAGGGAGAGTAAAGTAATTTGATAATCCAATGACTTTACTTGTTAGTTTATTTATTTATTTAATGGAAAAAAATCTTGCATCATAAATGAAGTCAGCTACACAAATTGCAACCAACATTAATACAGGGCAAAGTAAATCCAAACTCAGTTACTGGAAATTATGAGGTTAAACATTTGACTCATTCAGAAGAAGAAAGAATGTGCTAGAGGAGGAATACAAAAAGAATGGTAGCATATATATGAATTTCTGAAATAGTAAATTTTCACTAAATGAAGTTTTATGAAGTATGATTTTTTTATGATACAGGTATTGTTGCTGAAGGAATACTGCTGCATCTTTGTTTCTACTCACAGATTCATCTTTTCACGTTGCTTTTCCACATCCTGTACATAACTTCCCTCTATGCTACTTAAATAATGCCACACAATCACATCTGTTTTCTGAGTTCTTTACAGTTATTTTCTGAATAGCTTTGGTTTGCAGTTCTGCTTTCAGTGCTGCTGTAATACTTTCAATAGTGCTAACATTTTCTCCAAGTGTCTTCTGATTTTCTATTAAAAATTAAATGATTTATAAACCAGTACAAAATTGAAGCAATGCAGTCTTGGAGTTTAAGAAAAAAAGTTCCCTCTAATATAAGTAGAACCATACAAACTTTGATATATTGGAGACTATTTTCCTAATACAACATATGTTGTGAATTCAATATGCCATGACACTAAAAATCCAAGCCTATGAGATTTTTTTTTCTATACTAGAGTTATTTTTATTTTTAAAGAGAAAATGCTAATAGAGTCTTGGATTGTAGTATACCAGTCTAATGGGACATTTTATGCACTAGGGAAAAATACACTCATAAAATAACTCTAGTTTCTAGTTTCTTTACTTCTTTGAAGCACCCATATTCCTAAAGGACATTTGGTAAATTAAAATATTATCTCTCCTGGTTTTATAGATTCAAGATGCTGCAAGTCGGGGCCTGAAATTTGTTGGGATAGTACCTCAGCATGTTTCCCAAATGAACTCCAAGAGTATTAGTGCTGTAATATCTATCAGCAACAGCTCCCCAGAATTAAAAGATGACAAGAATTCATTCGATATTCCTGAAGATTGTTCTTCATTAATTTTTGAAAAGGGTAATGGCAGTGATGTATGCAAGGTCCTAGCAACAGAAGAAGAATGTAGTGATCAGCAGATGAACTCTAGTGAAGATCTAGGAGGTGAACAGGCAGTTACTGAGCATATTAGCTTAATATCTTCTGGAGAACGTGGAGGGAAGCTTCAAGGTGAGTATGCAGATTCTTTCTTAAGACTATTGAAAGTAGGTTTGGGCTATGGTCTTCATTTACTGTTTAATAAATGTAAATAAATTTTGCCATTCATTTTTTTTTTTACTAATGATATATTTATACAATAGGTGATAATTTATAGGACATATACAATAAGAAATATTGAATTACTGGTTTGTTTTGCACAAAAATAAGCTAATATTTGTTTAAGGTAGTTATTTTTTTTTTACATTTGAGTTAATTACTAGGAGAGATGTTTAGTGATATATGTTGCAATATTATTGCAGTTATTTCTGTCTTTTTCTTTGGAGGCCTAAGACCAGTGGTGGGATTCAGAAATTTTTTACTACCGGTTCTATAGGCGTGGCTTGGGCATGGCTATATGATCATGTGACTGGGTGGGCATGGCCAATTTAGCAGTCCATTTTTGCCAATTTAGCAGTCTATTAAACAATACACAGCAGCCCCCTTTTCTATTCTTCTTTTTAATACTGCATGAGGTTTTTGCTCTAGATTTTTTTTTACTGGGGGGAGAGGTTGGCAATGCCTGAGGAAGGAAAGGCATGCTTTCCACAGGTCTCATGGCTATGTTTAAAGGGCCAGCTAATGTCATTGGTGTTGGGAGATTCATTGGTAAGCTGATAGTGGCTTTATGTGTGATGTTCACTGGTGCAGTAACTGGAGTTGGTAAATTGACAGGTGTGGTGAGTGTTAACGGACAACTCATTGGGCTGGAGATGTTAACTATGCTCCAACCATTGGCTGAGCTTCTCATATTCATTGCAGCAGCCACAATGCGAGGAGCTGCTCCTTTGATATTAAGTGAATTTTGCCCCATTTAACAACCTTTCTTGCCACAGTTGTTAAATAAGTCACTGCGGTTGTTAAGTTAATAACACAGTTTTTAAGTGAGTATGTCAGAAGGTCGCAAAAATTGATCACATGATCCTGGGACACTGTAACTGTCAAAAATATATAAACTACTTGACAAGCATCTGAATTTTGATCATGTGACCATGAGGATGCTGCAATGACTGTAAGTTGAAAAGCAGTCATTTCAGTACCATTGTAACTTCTAATGGTCACTAAATGAACTAACTTAACTGCAGAGATTCACTTAACAATTATAGTCATAAAATGGAGCAAAACTCACTTATTAATTGCCTTGCTTAGCAACAGAAGCTTTGGACTCCGTTGTGGTGTTAGTCAAGGACTACCTCTACAGTAGGAATCTATTAGACCCATTTTAGGTTAACAGATAGTATAAAAATACATTAAACTTTAATCTCATTTTATCCGACTGATGGAGTAGCTAAATTGATAAAGGATGTTGTTAGCTTGAAGAGGAGCTACCACATTCCTGAAATTTTTGGCTACCAGAGACTTAACAGGGTCTTTTCCAACAACTTCTATAGTATGAATATACTCTTAAGTTCTTACTCTTACACCAAAACTTTCTAAAATGTACAGATGAAAAACTCAAAGGGAGTACTTAAGATAGTGAATTTCATTAATGTGTTGATGGCTATTTACAGTAAAGAGGGTATGTTGGAAGACAGCATAAAATTATTTCCATCAACATTCAAATTAAGAATGGAATATAAAATAAAATCTGAATGATAAAATATAAATAAAAGTGAGAAAAGTAAAACTAAAAAGTAATTTTAAAAATCTGGATAAAATATTTTGAAATCAGGTGAGGTTTTTTTGGCCTATACCTACCTACCTACCTAAGTTTGGAAGCTAGATTATCTATCTATCAATCTATCTATCTATCATATATCCGAGTTTGGAAGCCAGATTATACATGATACAGAATCTGAAATTTAGAAGTCTGGATTTCCCCCACCTCACTCATGTGCACGGGCGAAAATTTTCACTGAGAAAATGCTGCAGAGGGAACTTAAGGGAATGGATAATGGAGGGACTATGATAAGTCCCACATCAAGCTTGGCAGCAAAAAAAAAGAAAAGAAAAGAAAGTCAAGAGACTGTCTAACACAATTAGAGGGAGCTGCTCTGCTATATTAAACCCCTGTGATTTTGTCTTCTAAAAATTAAGAAGAAACCTGTTTCCAATTCCTCCTTTTAACCCAATAAAGGTAGTGTCCCTCAGTTCAAGGCCAAGGGCTAAAACACCCCCACACACATCGATCCAAACATCAATGCAAAACCACAGCTCATCCTATTCAAAAAGGACCCTCCAAAAAGAACAGACTTGTAGGCAGCAAATAAGACGCAAATCCCAGGGAGGACCATCTACCTATGAAGCCAAAGGACAAAGGAGGAGGAGGAGGAGGAGGAGGGAGCAGATCAACCCGCAATCCTGTAAATCCCAAAGCTAGTGCCCATTAAAGGAGAAGACCCCTAGAGAGCACATACACACGTACATACATGCAAGCAAGCAAGCAAAAAATTTGCTACAATCAATCTTATAAGGGAGCATGCTTTGGAATCAGCCTGTGTGCAAAATGCCTCTGGCTGCCCACACAACGGCCTGCCCTTTGTTGCTGCTGCATAAATCACATCCATGCCTATTGGATCGGGCTCCGGAGCAAAACCCCTGGGATAGCGACCGTCCAGTGATGCTGCCAAGCGCCCTGGATATACTCACACCCCATGTGCTCAAGCAATGACCCCAGCCTTTTGCATGGCTGACCACATAAAACAGTGCTAACTTACCACAAAGCAACCCACACAATAGGTGCAATTGCCAGCCCTTCTCTTCCCCCAGCCGCAGGAAGCAGCTGCCCTCAGGTGAAGATGTTGCAAGGGAGAGCCTTGACCCCTTCTTCTTCCTCGCCAGAAGCGCTCACACACTCAGCAGGGAGGAGGAGGCTTGTCAGGGGGCCAGAGGGGCGGTGAGTGCTTTGCGCATGAGCGCTTCTGTCAAGGAGGTAGAGAAGCTTTCAGGGGGTTTGAGCCTCCCCCTTGCAACATCTTCCTCTGAGGGCGTCGCTGGCAGCCACTCAACCTCCTCGATGTGCGGATCCTTTCCCCTCACCCCCACCCCTTCGCTAATGCCGTGCAAATGCGAGTAACATTTGTTCTCCAATCTCCAAGTTAGAGGAGCGACATTCGTGGCTGACAGCAGCCCCCTGCAGCTTCCTCGCTGCCTTTGGAACCAATTTCGAAGGCTGGGAGAGGACTTCTCCAAGGCAAGTGGGGGGCGGTGTCACTGGCCTCCAAATTGGTTCCCAGCCACCCTGGGGCAGCATTCAAATGAGGGGTATGGGGAGGCTTATAATCAGAACCATGATTATAAGCCTCCCCCTCCTTCAGTCCTCGTTTGAAGCTTGCAAAGCAGTGGTGAAATTCAACTACCTCGCACCAGGTGGTAGGGACAGTTCAGTTTGCCGAACTGAACAATCATCCCTGGTTGATCCTGCCCACACCCACCCAGTTACACCCATGTCGGCAACAGGGGTGGTACTGGCGGCGGGAGAAAGAGAGAACAAAGCAAAAATCCCTGCAAAGTTGACACCCTGACTTGCCAAAGGTTGCAATCCAGGAGAGAAAAGCCTCTCGTCACCCTTTTCCCTGGCAGCCCTTCTCTAACCTGGTGATCTCCAGGATTTGGGGAGGAGGTTAGGGGTACATGTGAAGGACAGCAACTTTTGACGAACTTTCCTGCAAGAGTTTCTCTGCGGCATGAGTCGGCCACTTCTGCAAGTGCCGACAGAATCAATGAAGCTCGCCCCATGGGGCCAGTTACTTAAGAATTTCCCCCTCTCCTCTTCACTCCCCAGATGGCTGAGGAGGTGCTCAAAACAACCTGGAGCTTTTCCCGCCTTATTTTGCTCTTTTCGCTTGCCTTCCGCAGCAAAGTCAAGATGACCAACCATGTCAAATTCCCACCACCTTTCCCCCCCACACACACACTCCCAGGGACTGAGAGAGAGAAAGAGAAGAGAGAGAGATAAATGAGAGAGAGAGAACAACAAGGGTGTTGTTGTCGCTTTGGCCATGCCCGCCCACCCACCCATATGACCACCAGGCCATTTTTATATTAAAAATTATACACACACACACACACACACACACACACACACACACACACACACACAATATCTCAATGGCTTCCCTGATTATTCTCTTGCTGGAGTGTTCAGTGTTGGATATTAATTTGGTTCCTTCGAAATTAATTTCATGTCCTGTGGCTTTAAGGTGCTGGAAGAGGGAGGAAGTATAGAGAAACACCCCCATAATATGAATAGACGGGACAAATCCTCCTGCCTACCAGACATCTGGAAGCTAGCCCTCACCAACATAGGAGTCCCAGCCACGAAAACCAACACCAGACCCAAAACAACATGGGATACCACCGCCAATCCCCCTCATCAGACCCAGGCCTAAGCCCATCCTATAAATGAAGGACAACCACCATCCAGAAAACAGACCACGGCTGCTTCGCCAGCTGTCGCACTCCCCAACCCCCAAACCAAACAAGCTGACACACACCAAGAACACAGACCCAGACCCCAAACTCGAAGCCAGACTAAAACCCAGAATGCTACATCACAGCCACCCGCTCAGGACATCACATCAGAAAACTCAGGAAATTACACCACAAGAACTCAAGAAGTTACAACACAGCAAATGACCCAGGATATCACAGCACAAGACCAAGGATACCACAGCAATAAATCTCACAAGGTCATCACACAACCCATTACCCAAGCCGTTACTACACAGGAGGCTAATGGAAAACAGATCAAAACACAAACGACCCAGGAGATTACAACGCAGGACCCAGGTTACCACAACAAAAGAACTCGCAAGCCCATCACACAACCCATTACCCAAGCCGTTAAAACACGAGAGGCTAATGGAAAAAAGATCACTACAAAACAAACGACCCAGGAGATTACAGCACAGGATCCAGGATATCTGCACAACAAAACTCACAAGGCCATCACACAGCCCATTATACCAACATCAACTCCATCAACCAATCAAGAGGCAGCAGCGCAGCCAACCAGCCCAGCACACCAGTCC